CTACTGCACACTGGCGGAGCATGAAAAAAACATGCTAATGTGCTAAGGCACAGTAGAATTAGTCTTCTGTGCAACAGCATCACTTAAAAAGTGTGTACCAGTGCTAATGTGTGGTAGCGCTGATAACAGCACATTAAGTTAGTACCTGTGATTACAGGTATTAAACTTAGTGCACTGTAATTATGGCACATTAATGAACATGTAGACAAATCTTAAAAGCATTTGAAAAGCATGTTTAGATTACAGATAAAGATATAGCTAACTCTGACACACAGGAAAACCACTATAAGCCCATTATACAAAGTCCACATCAAAATCCTATGAAAAGTCATACTTTTATTTTAAAGTACAATAGCAAATGGAACTCATCAGGTTTTATACAGCTAGCTGTCTGTGTTGTGTTGCAAAAAGATTACTTTTTACTTTGGGCTGAATGCCATTTTTAAGTTCAGATAACAACTTGTTTGATCTGGCTTTAGGAGGAACAGAATTCCCAAACCTTGGGTATTACTCAATAAATAGTATTACTGAATGCAGGGCTCTATTTTTTCTTTATAGTGGATAGTGAAATAAAATTGCGGGAAGAGGCAGGCATAAGCTCTGCAGTGGGCCAAAAATGTGGGAAGAGGCAGGCATAAGCTCCGCAGTGGGCCATAAGTAGGTACATAGGCACATTGCAGAGTGATCCATCAGAAGCAATGATATTCTCTCTCCTGGGCAACCTGTTTGTTAATGGTCAGTTGTTTGGGGATATGTTTAGTATTTGACATCACTGATTTATATGAATGAGTGTATTGGCCTTCCATATCAGACCATTCCCTCAGGGCAGTGATGGGCAGCATCCCAGGAGAAGGAAAAACACCAGTAACTCATTCCCACATTACAGATGTCTGTACTGGCCCTGTATGTATTATGGGTGTGTTATACTGAGGTACAGCGTGCTCTCTCTGTATGCATTACCTTCTGGAGCTAGTATATTTGGCTTCATTTTATCCTGGGTGCCCCAATACATTCTCTAGGTAGAGCTTATTGCCCTATGGCCAGTGCTGCACTAAATTGGTTAGTGCAGAGGAGATTACTCACCTGGCAGTCAGATGATAGATATGGTAGGAGAAGTATTGTTGGAAACAAGACAATTGTACCGGGCTCAAATAAGAAGGAAAACCCACACCTAGCTCCAGCACTCAGGAGGACTTCCCTTCTAGCATTCAAATCCCACTGTTTAACATAAACTCTACTTCATTTAGTTATCATCAGAAACCGTTTTGCTTTTAAACTGCTCAGTAGTCTGAACATTAATCATTATCTGCTTTTCTGAACTTGTTCAGAAGTTTTCTCCTTCTCAGGAATGAGCAGGGTTTCCAGTTCCCTTTATTCTTCTATTGACTTTGGGTGATTTTGTGTATTTCTCTTAAGTATTCCATTTTCCTTTTCCTCAGCAGCTTCAGGCAACAACTCATCTAAAGGAGTTTATAGGCAACTAGACTAGGAAGTTTAGTATGGGTGTCAATGATGAATCAAATATTAAATGGTGTCCAGAGACAGCTGCATCCTGTATCATACTATATAAACACCTCTCAGGATGAAGTGTCACAATCACTGGACAGGGTGTTACACCTCAGCTATGTGTTCTTGGGCAACCCTAGCACAGGATGCAGTCTGTCTGACTCACAAGGACTCACCCCCCCTCCCTCCCCTCCTCTACATAAATGAAACTGATTAAGATGCAGTGAGAGACGCACCTAAGACCCTCCAGATAAGGGTGACAAGAGTGAAACAACTGCCCTAGATCTCATTTGCATCCGAGATGGAAGCAGATGACCATTCATTTACGTGAGAGATGGAGAACAGAAAGCCTGAAGCAGAGACTGCAGTGAATTCGGGGACCAGAGAAGCAGGGCAGCACTGCATGATGGGGAATCTGTGCTCCAAATGTTAATCAACCCATGTTCACACACACCCAGCTCAATATTTATCAGACCAGTTCTAATCTGGATTTACTAAGGACTTTTCCCCCCCAGACACACACACAGCTCTAAGTTTAATAGGCATCTCGGGCCGTACATTCCCCGGTCCCACTATGGGAGGCCTATTTAAACTTGATTGACTAAAACTCGGTTGCCGGGTTAGGGAATGCTGAGGCAAGAGACCAAGTCAGAGGGGGTATGGGCAACATTTGAACAATGGTTAAGGGTTCATCACAGCATCCAGCCTGCTGGAGCCCTAATTACAGGTGTTGTCATATCTTTCCCGAGA